GCACCGACACCGCGGCTCCCCCGGGCACGGACACTGGCCCCGAGGCATCCGATCCCGGGACCGAGACAGCGGCACCACCGGGCACCGGCAGCGAGAGGGAAGCTCCCCCCGGCACCGGGACCGAGGCATCACCGGGACATCGGGCAGCGGCAGCCCCGGGCACCGGGACCAAGACACCCCCGGGCACCGGGACCGAAGCCCCCGGGCGCCGATCGCCGGGCTGCGATGCTTCCCGGGGCGGGTCCCCTCGCCTTCCTCCTCCGGTGCCTGCTGCTCCTCTTCGCCTCCGAGAGCCGAGCCCGGGCTCGTAAGTCCCCCCGCTGCTCCCCTCCAGGCTGCGCTGGGTCCCTCTGTGCCTCAGTTTCCCCATCGCCGGGGTCCCCAAGAGTTTGTGGGGGGGCTTTGCGGGCATGGCTAGGGAGACGGGGAGGCTCCTTGCCATGGCAGGTGCCGGTCCTCTGTGGCCAGGATGTCCCAGGCCATGCAGCAAGCCGGGTCCCCCATCCTGCACTGCTGGGGACACGGCTGTGTCCCCTTCCACCCGCTGCTGTCCCTTGTGGGGACGTACAGTGCCGAGCACACTGTGGCGTGCTGGTGAGGGGGCTGTGGGGTTTCGTGGGCCAGCAGGGGCATGGGGAAGGTCTGGGACCCTCCTCCCGTGGGCTAGAAATTGCGTAGGGCAGGAGGTTGAATTACAGCCCATCCCCTGCACAGATCCCACCCCACCTGGGTGCATCTCCCCTTCGAGGATGGACAGGGATGTGGGCAATTTGGGGAAATGACCCCCCCAAACCAAAACTGGGAACTTTTCTCCACATCCATTCCTTGTCCATCTCCACATCCATCCCTTGTCCATCTCTGTGTCCATCCTTGTCCATCTCCACATCCATCCCTTGTCCATCTCTGTGTCCATCCTTGTCCATCTCCACATCCATCCCTTGTCCATCTCCATGTCCATCCCTTGTCCATCTCCACGTCCATCCCTCGTCCATCTCCATGTCCATCTCCACGTCCATCCCTTGTCCCATCCCTTGTCCATCTCCACATCCATCCCTTGTCCATCTCCACATCCATCCCTTGTCCATCTCCACATCCATCCCTTGTTCTCTCATTGCTCCTGCTCCCAGCTGGCCGACTGCGGCAGATAAGATTTGAGATGGGGAAGGGAAAGGAGGTTGAGCACTTCCTTGTACAAAAAGGCGTGAAGGACTTGGCCAGGGCTGTTTAGCAGCTCGGAGGGTGCTGGAGGTGTTAATTGGGGCTGGGAGGTGGGTTTGGCTCGGGCAAAGCACTGGGACTCCACCAGCAGGTGCTGGGCACCCCTACAACATCGCAAAGCCACCCCAGTGCCGAGCAAACCAGAGCAGGACCGTTGTGTCCCTATATTTATTCTCCCCTTTAATCTCCCGAAATCCCAGTAGAGCCTGTCGGTGGCTGCATTAGGGTGATTTACGACTTGTCCGCTGCCAGCGGTGCATTAGGCACTCGGCAAATAATCGTCCTCCTGGAGCGCCGACCCAAAATGTAAGCGCTGGATTGCTTGTCCCGGCAGTGGGGTGGGCTGAGGGGAAAAGGCAGGCGGATGGACGGGGCTGTGCGGAGCCTTGGAGAGCAAAATCTGGGTGAGTTTGGCTCCTTTCCCTTCCCCGGGCTCATCGAAAGCCGCTGAGCTCGGACCGCAGCATCCGTTTCTTGCGCGAGGGATGTGGGTCTGACTCCCTGCCTCTGCCGGGGCTGCGTTAACCGTGGTACCCGCGTTAGGAGGAGGATGGAGACGTCTCCAGAAAGTGAAACAGATGCTAGGTGAGGTGTTTCCTCTTCAAGCTGATGGTAGCAGAACCCCTCAGTTGGGCACAAATCAGGATGAATGGGGACGGTAGGGGTTTGTCTGCTTTGGGAGGAAGCACCGGGGTCTGTTTGCAGGATTTATAATGCCGATAAAGGGCTGGGGGCTGCGGGACAGGGGCAGGATTGGAGCAGGGATGTCTGGGATCGCCCCCAGCTCTGCATCGCTTTGGTTCTGCTGCCGGGAGCATCCCACGCTGTGGGGGGCTTGGCTGGGGCTCCAGGTGCCCCGTGGTCGAGGGCAGGGGGGTCTTGGGGACAAGGTCCTCATCAAATCGTGGGCTTTTCTCCGCCGTCCACCTCTGCAGCTCGCTGCCTCACATTTTTCTTGGGGCCAAGCGCTCAGGGAGAATGAAGTCAGGAATAAATTAGTTACGAGCAGTCTCATCAGCCAAGAGACCTACAGTGTCGTGGCTAAAAATAGGTGAGAAGCAGAAACGCTCGGGCTTGAAGGCAAGTCAGAAAAGAAGAATTTGCCCACAGAAACAGGCTATTTTAGGGGATTTACATTCTCAGCTGAAAAAATATCAGAGGCACAGGTTACTGGGCCGAATGTGCTTCAGCCCGGCCACTATGAGTAATTCAGCGGCAATAGTTGAACCCAACGATGTTTTGGCTAGAGACATTTAAACACCAGCATCTCTGGAGAGCGTGGGGCAGTGGTTTTCTCCAGGAGCTTGGAAGCTGCCATTTCATTTCTTTTTAATGTGGTTCCTGGTGAAAAGTGGGTTTGTGGGATCTGTCTGTCCTACAAGTTTGGATCCAGCGTGACGAGGGACCGAGCGGTCCAAGACGGGAAGGCCGGGGACGAAAAGCAAATCCTGCCAGTGGCCACGGTAAGGGAGAGGCGAGGGCTGCACGCCCCGCTTTAGACAACCGAGCGTCCCCTTGGGAAGGAGAGGAGGGAAATGGGGCCCCATCTGCTGCTCGCAGAGCCCACGGGGATGCTCTAGGTCCGGGGCTTCACTTGGCTTCTCCACCCTGGGGAGCTTGGCGATGCTTCGTGAGGCTGCATTTACAGAGCTGCAGAGTTTTCCAGGCTCCCAAAGTCCCGAGAAGAAATTCCCAGCCCAGGACTGAGCGAGGCGAGTGCGTGGGAAGCGATCTGGATGTGAGCAGAGTCATTAGGATGCCACATGTCAAGGGCCCGGTGTGTTTTAACCAGTCCCTTCTCAGCTAAGTTGCATTTTAAGCCCTTCATAAATACAGGGCTGTCATAGGAGCGCCTGGACTTTCTGTACCAGACAGTACTTTTTACACTTTATTTATGACTGCTCTTAAAACTCACAAACTGGTTTGCATAAACACACCTCCGCACGCCCGGCGCGGCGCTGGCTGGCAGGTGCGTGACCTCCGAAAAAGCTGTCGGGGCCGGGAGCCTGGCTCCGATGTGCCCTGCCGGGGGGAGAGCTGCGGGGGGATCGCCTGGGGACACAGAGGTGGGAGAAACCCCTGTGCCGTGAGGTGAAACAAGGGAGAAGTGGGGTGAGACCTGCGGGATGGTTCGGTAGCATCCTTATTGGAGCCAGTTTGGTACCTGGAGTGAAAGTCCCTGCTAGGGAAACTGAGGCAGAAGGCTTTCCACATTTTGGGGTCTGCATTAGCCCCTCTCTAGCCACAAGTCAGGGCTTTACCTGCAGCAGGGGCTCACCTCTGGGGCCACTTCAGTGTCCTGTAGCATAGAGGAGCTCCAGTGTAAGTCAGGATTGCTGCACGGTGATCCCACGCGTGCAGAGACCCGGCTGGGTAATGAGCGTGCGGATGGGAGCCGTTCCCCGGGCTGATGGAGCAGTGATGTAAAAGCATCTTTAAACCTCCCACGACCCATCAGGATGCCCTGCTCAGGTCTGGGAAACCCTGACGTGGGAGTGGGGGGTGTAGGGGCAGGGTCTTGCACGCGCGCGTGTGTATGTGGCTTGACTGTGTTGAGCGTCGTTGGTCCCTATATCCAAAGGAAGGTGAAGTGACCACGGCTGAGCCTGAGCCAAAGGAGGATTTGGCAGCAGAACGTGGTATTTCAGTAGCCATCACACATGCAAATTTAATAGCTCATCTTGGTTCTTGCTGCCACACTTGGGATCGGTGCAGGAGAACATCTGACCTGTTTTGGCCCCTGGTTCAACCATGGTCAAAGTGTCCAGGCAGTGGGATGAGTCACACCATGTTGGGAAACCCATGGGGATGTCCTTGTCCTCACAGCCCACTGCAAATGTGGAGGGGTGCAAGGAACTGGCTCAAACGGGCTGTGTTGGTGGGTGGGAGAGCTTGAAGGGACGGGTCTCATGGACATGCTGGCCAGAGGGGACTTGTCTGCATCTGAGGCCAGGAGATGTCCAGGGGTGGTCTGACCAACATCGGCCAGTTTGATGGTTCAACAAAGAGGTTGTGGGGTCTCGCCCATCTTCCCTCGGTTCATGGTCTCTTACTGGATCTAGAGCAGGTCATGAAGACATAGGATGACGTCTTATTGGTGGCTGGTGTAGGAAGCTGTTGAGAGACATCCTAAAGAGGCGTCGAGGCCATTCTCATGGTGTGAGAGAGACGACAGCAGTCACTGAATGCAGCGCAAGGCGGGTTTCTCCGTGCCATTGCCATTCAGTTTGTCACCCTGGATTGATGTGTCTAGACCATCTCATGAAGATGCTGCTCTGGGGGGTTCATAGAGTGTCTCAGAGCCTCCACGATAGCCTGTTCTGGGATTTAAATCTCCTGGTAGCTGGAAAGCTTCCCACAATACCTGTCCTAAATCTTCCAGGCTTTGCCCCAAGCTGATTGCTTCTTCTTGTCCCTGCCATGGCCAGAGATCACCCTTTTCTTTGCCACAGCGCTCTCTTGCCTCGTCCGCCCCCTCCTACTTTCCATCTCATCTTACGTACCCTCCTTGCCATCCAGGGTGCAATTAATGATAATTAATGACAATGAATGATAATCAAAGTAAACCAGGGCCTGGTCACAGCCTTGAGCATTGGCCGGGGGTGTCCAGACTCTTGCTGAGGGTGCGCTCCCCAGCATGGTGTTGGTCGGTGCCAACTTGGGCTTCGCCAAATGCCTGGGGACAGCTGGGCCAGGGCAGTCCCAGCAGGTGGGTATGGACATGAGCTGGGCCAGGCCACTGTCCCCAGACCCTGGCCTGGGGTATTCAATGATTTGGATGTAACCAGGGGGTCCTCACCCAAGAAAACACTGGAGCCATGGCAGAAAATATATGTTGGATGGGGTGGCAGGGAGAAACTTTCCTCCTCCATGATGTCCCCAGCAGAGCCCTTCGGGGTGGGCAAGGCAGAGCAGCTCCCACATGGAGGAGTTGCTCTCCACAGCATCTTCCACCCTCCCTCTGGACACGAGGCCACAGAACTTGCTGCTGGGTGGCAGAGGAATCATTTCCACATCTTTCACCTGTTTTTTTCTGGTTCATACAACCCATAACGGTATTCTGAAGAGCAGAGTCTGGTATCTGGGGCTTCTTGTATTTGGGAAGAAACTGGTTAGATGGGACCTGTTCTTGGAGGTGTTTGCAATGGGAGGTGTTTGCCCCTTCCTACCTCTGCTCCTGCTTCCAGGTCCCATAGGGCCACCTCCAAGCATGGACCCTCTGGCTTGCAACGAGCAAGCTCTTGTTGTGTCTCCAAGGTGGCGTGGACCAGGCTGGCCCACTGTCTTCTCCCACCCAGGGATCGCATGGTCCTCGGGAAGGAAAACAAGGTGATGGCTTCATCTGGATTTTTGGTACTGCAGCCTTGAAAATGCTCTGCAGCTCAGGAGCCCTCTCTGGAAAACGAGAAGTAAAACAACGTGACTTTTGTGAGCGTGCTGTTGCCGAAGACGCAATAAATAAGGAGACTGAACGGCACGGGAGCAATTTACTGCCACAAATGGCTTTTCACTCCCAGTGAATTGGGAAGATATCCAAAGTTTGACCTCTGAAAATGAAATTATTAGCCTGGCATGGGAAAAAATGATCCAGAGCCTCCAGCTTTTAAGCCTCCTCCTTCCATCCATCCCCAGCTTGCTTTTAACCAAACACGCTGGCGCCTCTTGCCAAATACGTGGCATAGTGCTACTGAGATGCGGACACGTGTCTGCTGCTGCCCAGTGCTGCCAGTCGGCTTTAATTTTACCAGTGGGCCCTTTGCAGACATGAATCAGGCTGCTTTCGAGGGCTGGACCCAAACCAGGGCTCTACTTGTGAAAGGCAAGTGATTAAATGTTTAAACGAAGCAGCCAACTGGCATGGGAGCCTGCAAGCTGAGCAGGGCCGCGTCACACGAAGGCAACTTGATTTCTTCACCCTCAGTGTAATTCATGAAGATGCTGCAAGCAGGGAAAAATGAAGTCATTTTCTCACCCTTTTGCAAAATGATGATTTTCTTTTTTCTTTTTTTTTCCTTTCTCCTGGGTTTCTGCAGTTTCCAGTCACGCACTCCCTGTTCTTGCGTGGTTTGCTGTAAGCTCGTGTTGTGCATGGCCAGGAATATGGGTTTGCTGACTTGTTAGAAGTTTGGAGCAAGCTATGGGGACGGTGTAAAGACCTGAGTAGGGAAAAGCCTCCTGCCTGTCCCTCTGGTGGCATCCACCCCAAAATTATTGCAAATCTCCACCTCTGCAGATGCAGCGCTGGCCCCACACCGCTGTGCTTGGAGTAGGCGGTCTGGACAGCTGGTGGCCACCTCCTTTGAAGGTACAACTTGGAGAATCATGTACTTGAAGCCATTAACTCAATGTGGAGCTCAGGGCTGCTGGCAGACCCGTAGGGCTTGAGTTGGAAGGGACCCATAAGGATCATCATAGACCCCTAGGGCTGCCCTTCCTGATGGCCACAGGGTCTGGCCATGGTAGAGCATTCTTCATCCTGAGGATGGTCAGAAGCTGGAGGAGGGATGGCAGCCCACCACAGCATATTCGTATGAGTTTTGCTTGGTCGGTGGGAGAAACACCAGCTTTGGCAAGGTAGGGCAACGCTGGCCCGGGCTCTCTAAACCACTGCTTTACCCCAGGTGACAGAGCGGAGCATGGGATGGCTTTTAGCATCACTGGGGTGGTGAGTGCCACCGAGCTCATTGTGGGGACCCTTTGCTGTTCATCGAGGAGTCATTCCAGCAGCATAGCAGGGTCAGCACCCACTAGCTTGCATGACTTTGTGTGGTGGGCATGAGCTGGGCACCATGCCTCGGAAAACAACCCTCTCCCCTCTCCCCGCATCCCCAGGGTGCCGCAAGGTTTTAAAAGACCCATAAATGCTTCAGGGAGTATAAATGTCTCCGCTGCCTTCGAGCAATGTAATCGCCCAAACTACCTCAAATCCCCTCGATGACATAACCTTTTAAGTTACCTTTGGTTTTTAGTGGGACTGTAAGCACTTAAACCACTAATAACACACGTGGGCAGGAGTGTGCTTATTCACAAAAGAGCTTAAGCCCTGTCACGTCCCTCCGGCTGGTCAGGGCTTGGGGACACGCCACGGGAGAGCGGGAGCAGCCGATGGGCTGCGGTGGGAGTTACGGGGTCCAGGTTCCTGCAGGTCTGACCGGGGTTGGAGCTTGGTCCTGCAGGACCAGGCAATGCTTTTTGATGTGAACGTTAAGGATGACTGAATTGGGCTTTCTGGCCAAAGCCCTGTGGTTGTTGGTGGTGATTATGGCCATGGTTTGTCCCACAGGTCCTGCTGCAAGATGGCCTCGTCCTGCCAAAGGGTTGGTGTGTAACCAAGGGCTTGGAGATGGAGGCGGTTGATAGGGACCTGCTAAAATCCAGGGAGAGGGTGGATCACCAAAGGGGATCTCCTTCACCAGTCATGCTGGGCACCATCTCATCTCTCTCCCTGCGGCAAGGTTAAACCCAGCCCAGTGTAGGCAGGGCTGGATGGTTTCTGGGACAGACACCTGTAGTTCAGGAGCATGGCTGGAAACTGGCTCTTCTCAGGATGATAAGATCAGAGGAATAGAAAAACACATGGTTTTGTGCTTTTCGGGGCAAAAAGTGGACGAGGTGGACTTGCTGTCCCCATGGACAGCCCCATAAATGAAGAGCATGGTTCAACCCACTCCAGCCAGACTAGTGCGACGTCAAGCCCAGTAAAGCCAAGGGGCTGAGCCTGGTGGGATGGGGCAAGCCAGCACGGTCCTGCTCCTTAGGGCTGGTGCTTGGCTGTCTGGGTGCTGATAGCGCTTGTCCAGGGCTCCTTGAGAGAGTGAGCTGAAGCTCTTAGGGGGAGCAAAATGTGTTTCTACCTCAAAATGTCTTTTTTTCTTCTTCTTCTTTTTTTTGGGTAACAGTGAAAATGTCTCCTAAATTCAGGCTCTCCTATCTCCCCCACCACTCCCAGCCCTTCTGGTCTCCCTGGGGGAAATTCAGTCTCATAGCATCACCCTGTAATCACCTGTCCATCTTCCAACGAGCACTTCTACTGACCTATTTTAGAGTGACAACTCTAATTTTTGCCTCAAAAACACCCATTCTGTTCCTTGCTTGCGAAGGGAGTCCAGCTTACTCAGAGGAGTTGCTGTTTGGTCAGATGAGTCCCAGCCTAAAAAAACAAATCATGGCAAAAAAAAAGGCTTTTGGGGAATGTATTCAGTCTCGGGCCTGGTCGATGGGATGTGGCCATCAGCTCCTCATGGGGGACAGCATGAAGGCACAGAGCTGTCCTTGCTCTTCCCATCACGGATGGAGGAGAGATCTCCCAAGGACTGTCCCTTTCTCTCACGAAGCTTCTCCTGGTTGACTTTCAGGGCCAGATATGTTCTGCGACTTCAACGGCAAGAAGTACAGCCCGGGCGAGAGCTGGCACCCCTACCTGGAGCCGCAGGGGCTGATGTACTGCATCCGCTGCAGCTGCTCCGAGGCATGTCCCCTGCGAGGTGCCGAGGGAGGTGGTGGGGATGCGGCTACGTTGGGATATTGCTTTGGCAGCTTTTAAGCAGATCGGTTGTGGTGTCTAATTTGACCAGAGAAGCTCTTTCCAGTCCCATAGGGATGATGGATTAATCTCTTGCCTTTTGAAAAAGCCCCACGTCCCCCTGGGGATGTTGGGTTGACCTTGTGAGGGAGCTGTCTCAGTAGTGGGCTGTGGGTGGAGGTGGCTCAGGGCTGCTGTGGGACCATGGGTGGTCTTTGATGATGAGAGATGAGACCATGAGCTGGTTGACAGTGGGGTCTGAGCCAGGGATGGAGACATCCTTGACTCGATGAGCTACACCAGCACAGTCTATCATGATAATGGGACCATCATCCAACATCTTCCTCCTCTTGCAGGGGTGAACATGTAGCTGAATGAACTGTCTTTCTCTCTCTCCCCAGAACACCAACATCAGGTGCTACCGGATCCAGTGCCCAGCTCTGCAGTGCGCCAGCCCCGTCACTGACCCCCAGCAGTGCTGCCCGCGGTGTCTCGGTAGGTGGACATCCCATGGGGAGGTGGTGACAAGGTGGCAGTGGTCCTGCAGCCTTCTTCCCCGAAAGGGCTGTCAGGCCCTGGCCCAGGCTGCCCAGGGCAGGGGCTGAGTCCCCATCTCTGGAGGGATTTAAAAGCCGGGAAGATGTGGTGCTTGGGGACATGGTTTAGTGGTGGCCTTGGCAGCGCTGGGTTAACGGTTGGACTTGATCTTAAGGGTCTTTTCCAACCTTAATGATTCTGTGATTCTGTGATTCTATGAAGGACGTACCTCAGCTGCAGTCACTTGAACGCTCATGCCTGGGGCAGTGCAGCGATGCTGGGTCTGGCCCTGCTCACGGGGTCACAGCAGCAATGGCAGCTCAGGCTGCTCACGTTGCTTTTTCCCCCCAAAAAATGTAATTTTGATGGAAAAAGGCTGTCTACCAGACCATTTTCTTCAACTTCCCCCCCATCCCAAGAAGCCTCGTAGGGACAAAGTGTCAGTTCACAGTTCAGTGACAAACCAGAAGCTGGCACTTTATTCAGATCTTTTGCCAGCAAAATGTGTTGGATACAGGAAAAAAATTTTTTTGAAGATGTTTAACAAAATTCTTGAAATTTTCCCTCCCCTGGATGTGATGACCTCCAACATCAGACGGAGTCAGATAAAAAAGGCTTCTCCCATGGGTAATTAGATAAAAATTAACAACACTTTTTTTTCTATTTTTTTTTTTTTTTAATTTCCCAAATCATCGATGGTTTTTGACTAGCTTTGCCACCGCTCTGGCACAAGGGGTGCAAGAACCCAGGAGGTCAGACTCCAGTTTTACCTTTGAGCTGAGCTCAGCGTGGTGAGGGCAGCCCCGTTCTCCAAAAGCTCTTGGGCACATAAATCCCCACAGGCCATGCAACACCCCGGCCACTTCTTTGTGATAACTGTGGTGTGTAAAGGTCTCCTTGTCCTTTTGGGTTAGGCTGGTGGGGAATCTGCTGAGCGTCTGTGCTACATCAGGGCCAGGCAAGGGCTGGCTCTCATCCCCTTGCTTTCTCATCTTCTTTTCCAGAACCACATTCCCCTTCTGGCCTACGGGCACCCATCAAGTCCTGCCAGTACAATGGGACGACCTACCAGCAAGGCGAGATGTTCACCACCAGTGAGCTCTTTCCTAGCCGCCAGCCGAACCAGTGTGTGCAGTGCAGCTGCTCCGTAAGTTACCTGCGAGCCCACAGGGGGCGGGGAGGGCTCAGGGTCTGCTCCTGCACCCCAACAGTGGCCCACCGGGTCAAAAACCTCATGAGGACCGTTGGCTGGTACCAGCCCATGGTGGGATGGTTTATCATCAGGATCAGGTTGTCAGTGCAGGAAACTGATCTTCCTCTGAGCTTCCTCTGAAATGGTGCTGGGTCCTCCCTGCCTGTTGACTAAGGACCACGGCAGAGCTGGGTGCTTCCCTCTCTGCCCGGGTGTGTTATCTGGCCTTGACCCAGAGCAAGGTGTGCTGCAAATGGCCACCGGCCGCTGGGGTCAGAGCACGAAGCACTCACCTGCATCTCCCTGGTGGGAACAGCACAAACAAGTTGCTCCAAGGGTAGGTAATTCACTGGAGATCCCATGGTCCAACTCTGGGTGGACCCTGCTGGGGCTCCTTGGGGTGGGCAGGGGGACAGCCCTATCCCCACTGGGCGCTCCAACAAGTGCATTTGCCTGCTGCGAGGACCAGTGCTGTCCCTGCAGCATCCAGCTATCCCACCTGCCCCACTGAGGCATCGTATGGCAGACGGCCAGTGGAGAGGACAGCCGGGAGCCTTTCCCCATACGTGCTTGCTGCAAAGTAGGTGGGGTTTGTGGTCGGAGGACCTGGGAGAGCTCAGCATGCCTGCAAGGCAGCATGGATACCAGCTCTTGGGCTTCAGAAGTTCTTGGTACATTGAGCCCAGTGTTGAGCTGGTGGGACTGAGCTGAGCTCCAGAAATGATTTGGTGGCTCCCAACCACTGCTGGATGCCTGGGTCTCGCGATGCCTCCAGCAGCCAGCTCCTGCCCTGCATGGCTGGAGTTCACCCCTGACGCAGGCGGGAGACAACGGCAGAGAGATGGGGGCATTTGCAGCAGAGCCTGGCCATCAGGGATAGCAATGGGCAGGCGCCTGGTGATCTTCATCCCCTTTGCTTGGACTTAAGCAGAAGCTGAACCCAGGGCTGAGATGTGCTTGAGCACCTGGGTGGCCAGGCTGCAGCAGGAGCCGATTTCATCTGGAAAGTCCTGCAGTGTGTTCACCAGCCCTCTGGGCCATCGTGTGCAGAGCTGTGCCCTGGAGATGTGCACGTGCTTTCCAGGCTGTCTACAAAAAGCATTTGCAGGAAGCGTCTGCCTTTCACACCAAGTTGCAATGACCTTTGCAGGACCATTGCATGCCCATCTTCCGTGATGGTCCTGGTTGCCCTACCTGAGGGCTGCGACGGTGGCCAGGATGCTGTGTGGTCCTCAGCATGCATCCCCGTGATGGATTGCCCATCCACCACCCGTTGCCAGCACCGGAGGGCTGTTCCTTCTCCGTGAGCCTCCAGCAATGCCCTGAGACAGGGCTTGGCTCCGCTCTGCCCAGCCCTCTCCCACAGGCTGGGATCCTGCTAAAAACTGTCAAAAAAGGAGTCCTGACACTTCACTCGGGAGACATGAGGCAGCCTGGCCAGCGGCGATGGGGAAGGTGTGTGGAGCATGGGGCCGCGCATGCCAGGAACTGTGTGTTGGGAGATAAATGGAGCAGCTCCTCCTCCTTGAGAGGGAGCAAGGAAGGGGGATAGAAAGTGCCAACGCTGGATTTGGATGCTGTGGGGAACTGCTTGCAGCAGCTATAGCCTCTGCCATAGAAAAGAAGAGGGTTGCAGACTTGGCTTTCACTGCCCATCGTACAGAGCCCTTGGATGGCAGCAGGCTCCGCTGGTCTGTGCTTTGCTGTCAGAAAATAATTTGACTAAGCTTGGCCAGGAAAGAAAAAAGGGGTGAGAGCGCCCAAACCACCTCCTTCTCTCATGCCAAGAGCATGCACACGGTGGCTACCATCAGCTGATGCTTGATAGTAAAGTATCCGTGATACCGGGATAGCTGGTCTGAGCCTTTGGTGCTTGTGCACACCTCGGAGCTAGGTGGCTTGGAGCTAGGTGGCAAGAGGAATAGCTTCGACGTAGAAATTATACAGTTTTGAGGCTGGTTTCTCTCTGAGGGACCCCAGCTGGATGCCAGCCCACCAGGAAGGAGCCCTCGAACCTGGCTGTATGTGCCCACCTGGCCCTGCTTTCCTACCCCATCCACCACCAGCCCCAGGAGCCTGCAGACCTACGTGTCCCTCTCGGAGGCACTGGCTCTCACTCAGGCTCTGTTTATTCGGCAGGATAATGCCTTGGATACGAAGGGGAAAATAAAAGGATGGCTGTGGAGCCTTGCAGCAGCAGGGTCTCGCCGGGCTGTGTCTGATGTTGTCAGCTGCTAGAACAGCTGCATGAACAGCTGGTCTAAACCTCTTTGAAAACCGCCCTGAGACTAGAGCCTCCAGGATAAATCCTGCTTTTTATGACATTTGCTCTTTCCTGCCCAGGGCAGGTCTTCGCTGTGAGCTGCCGGTCAGAAGGAGAAAGAAGGAAAAGACTCCGTGGCCAAACCCTGCTCCCTGCAGGTCTGGACCCCATGGAGGTCCCCGAAGCAGAGAGCAGGGTTTGGTTTGCAGTGACCTCCACCAAATCCTCTCATTTACCAAACTTTCTTCCTCCTCTTCACGTCCTCTACACAGCGGCTTGGCTTCCTGACGGTAGAAGAACCTGCTGTGGTTTGGTTTTCTAAGGAAATCCTTGGTTAACCTCTTGGTTGTGGTTGACTGAGAGCTTAGGGATACCCCAGAGAAAATTGCTGCATGGAGAAGAGGACCTTGCTGTTGAGGTTTGGCTGCTGCTGGGCTGCTGAACATCCTTCTCTACCCTTCTGCAGGGCAGGAAAAACATAGCTGTGCAGCAAATGGGTGCAAATCCATTGACTGAAGTGGGACAGGGATGCACTAAGGTCAAGATTGGCCTTGGCCTGTGGTTTTCAGCTTGAATCACTATGGCAATGATGTTTTCCAACCTAACTACCAAGCCAGCGGAAGAAGGTCTACACCTGAACGTCCATCCACAGCTCTCGACCCAGTGTCTTTGTGTGCTTGACTCTGGTGTTATCAAATAACCCAAGACAGAGGGAGGGCAGATTGGTGATATCTGAGGATGGACTATTGGGGTGCTTATGATTTATGCTAGATCTGCAATTTGAAGTGCTGGCACCCCAACATGGAGGACCTACAGCCCTGTCCAGACCTTGGTAATGCTGACAATGCTTTTTTTATCTCCTGCCCTCCTAGGAAGGCCAGATTTACTGCGGCTTGGTGACCTGCCCGGAGCTGTTGTGCTCCTCTCCCCTAACCGTGCCAGATTCCTGCTGGTTGCCACCAGCTGGCAGAAGCCATTAAAAGCCACTTTAGCAGGATTTTGGAAGCCTGTGCTGTAAATCAGGCCACTTACTGTGTCTTGGTTGCACCAGGAAACAAAAGATGAGGGCTCAAGTTTTTTCTTGCATGCTTCCCCTCCCACACCTAGTAGTGTCCTGCCTCCCTGCAGCCCATGCGCTGGCTAGGGCGGAGCTCTTTGCCCTGCCACTGGTGCATCATGCAAGAGATGTGACCTGCATGGAGGGCAAAGTCCTGCAGACCACTCACCCACCAGGATGGAGATGGTCGTATGAACCATGTAAAGATGGTGCATGCTGCTGTTGCTCCAGTGAAGTTTCCAGGACAGCCAGGGAACCCCTGCCTTCCACCTTGGTGCAGCATGGCTGAGTTTCACTCCCACAGCTCTCCGTGGGGGAGAAACTCTTGGATTTGCTGCTCTTTCCCATGACTCACACCTGGGAGGGTGAGGAGAGAATCAAACTCCATGTCTCCAGATGAGACAGACTCAAGAGCAAATGGGCAGGTTCACACCTTGCTGACAATGAAGTCACAGCATAAAATGACTCTTTAATACAAGAAATATTTATGAGGCTGGAAGGCCATGGTGGTCTCCTGGCCATGGCTACATAATGACCTCCTCCAGGTGCCTCCTCCAAATTCTCCCCTTCTGCAATTTGTGTTCCTCTCTCCTAGTTTTCTTTGGTGCAGTTGGGGCATGGCATTGACTTGGTGAGAAATGTCGTTGGATTTCTTTTTAATGCCAGATCATCCCCATCACCTCATACTCTTCCTCTGGGGTGTTTTCATGCCACCTAACTTCAGAAGCTACAAGGCCATGTCTTGGAGCTGAGCTCTTTTTAATAGTCAGTGGGGATAAAAGGGTTTTTGGGGTATGGCTCCCATTTGCTTTGGGCAATGTGACTTGCATATTCGAAGCTCTTCTCTCTCCAGACCGCACAGATGGGCCAGTACTCTGAAGAGAACTGCTTTTAGTCAGCTGGACCCCAGAGCACAAATCCTCTTTCAGCCCTCCAGCATTTCACAGGACAATGTTTTTCCTTGCAGATGGCTCGTATGAGAAGTCCACGGAAGAGGAGCCCCTGCAGTTAAACAGAGGTGTTGTACGTGATGTTTGCATTTTAAAACTCAGATTATTGCTGCTAGCACAGCCCCATTACACAGCTCAAAGAAAGCCATTTTCCCTTGGCCATGGTCTTCTACAAAGAAATGACCCACAGTGGCTCTAGGAGGACAGTCAGTTCCTCAGATAGCAGAACAACAGACACCTGGTTTGCAGATGAATCGTGTCTGGGAGTTGACTTTAGGTGAAGGCTATCAGCATAGGCTGAGACTTCAGACCACCACGGAAAGACTCTTGTCCTCTTCCTCTGAAGCATCTCTGATGTCTCTGGAAGAGCAAAAGACCTGCGGGAACTGGAAATCTTGGGCACTTCTCCTCTTCGTTGGCCAACCTGGCTGAGGTTGACCAGTGGGTTAAAACAGATGAAGAACATGAGCAGAGCAGACTCAGAGGTGACCAACAGCCAAACGTGACCCCTACCCATAGAATCAGATGGCCCAAATCTGTCTTTGGGGGCTTTTGCCTCAGGAGATGGTGTCTCCTCTCCACCCTGGGCTCAAAGGTGTCCTGCCTCCCAGTTGTAGCTCCCACAGAGCAGCCAGCGCTGGAGCTGGCCACCACCGTGTTTTCCCCGGGCTGTTTTTATCGGCAGCCCCAGCAAGGAAAATGTGACTCCTTGGCTGCCGAGGGTTGATTCACAGTGACATTTCAGAGCTGGGCGGCCCATGCCAGGTCTGTGGGATTAGGTCACTTACAGCTCCTGGCCCTGCCCTTTTCCATACTGCTGGGTGAAACGCCAGCGTCACACCTCCACCACCTATAAAACCTCCAAAATAGACACAAGGGAACTCTTTGTGTTGCATGTCTTGTCCCAGCGGTTCGCTCTTGGAAGCCCAGGATGTTCCCGGGATTTCAGTCCCGCTGGCTGGCAGCTCCATACCAACCCTCCTGGTGCCAGCCAGGTGAGAGGGCAGGATACGGCCCGTCCTTACCTCTCTGATCCTGGTTGGGTTGCACGGATGCTGGTCCTCAGTTTCCCAGCAGGCATCTAGAAAAGACCAGTGCATTTCCCTGCCCGTGTTGGTGATGTAGGACCTCACCTGAGGGCGTTGGGTTGAGTGTGGGATGAAAAGGGTGCTGCCCCAATGAGGGTGACCCACTTGCAGCATAGGGCGGACATCAGTGCGGGGCATTGACACAAACTGCTCAGCACCCCTTAGGCGGTGGCAGGCACTGAGATGGCTCCTGGGTCATTGCTCATCCCTGTGGTTTCTGGACCTTCCACTCCTGATGGAAGGTGTGCATGGCTTTTTCCAGCATGCTTTGGAGTGAGAACAACCAGACTACCTGGGTCTGAGTCCCCTTCTTTTCTCTGACTGCTCACAGAGGCACTCGCAAGACCAGTGCTCGGGGGAAGCAGCGGGCAGGAAGCCACCCGGAGCCACCGCATCCACTGTTCTCGGTTCTTCCCTGGAGTTCATTCCCAGGAGCTTCAAACCCAAGGGAGGAGGTGGCACCACCGTGAAGATTGTCTTGAAAGAGAAGCACAAGAAAGGTAAGGGATGGAAGGGCCAGGCAGTCTGTATATGGCCTAAGGTGACTTCTCCAGGACTTGAATTCTCCAGGGAATCTGTTTCAGCAGCAGTTTTTCACCACCAGGTCCCACCTCCCACTCCTCCACAGCCAGCCTCACCCAGCATCTCAGCCCTGGTGGCCCACAGCCCCTTGGCTGCATGAATCTACCGCTTTCCAAAAAGGGTTGGAAGAAGATTACTCCTTGGGGTGTTTTGGAGATCTGGGACCTGGGAAGGGAGGTGCTCAGCTGGAAGATTCCATGTGGTCCTTCCAGGACAGTGCCGCAGAGGGACAGGATGTTCCTCCTTGCACCTACACATCGTATGCTGGGTCTGTCCCAGTGCTGTGGTCTTCCTCCTGGAGGAAAGAGTTGGAAAGTGAGATGAGGAGGAAACCCCATGGAGCCAAAGGGGAAAAGACAAGTTCCTTCTCCTCTTGGGGGCTCTCCCACCACTGTGTCTTCAGAAGGGCTCTTTCCAGACCTTGGAGATGAAGCTCTGGAGGAAATTTTGGGACCTCCAAAAATTTCCATGGAGGAGTCAGCAGGTGGCACTCTTCACTGTGCTTCATGCCTGTGACAGCCTGGGAGAGACCCTGGGCTTGCAGAGGCTTGGAGGGAGCTGAGCTCCTGCCCACACTTACCACTCGCCCCCACCAGGGTGGTTGACTCCAGCAGCCTCCATCTCCTAGAGCTGGTCCCCCTGCCCCATGGCACCTCCTGGGTGGGATGGCTGCAATATCCCTATGTCCGCTGTGTCCGGATGTGTTGACAGAGGACCATGTTCCTCAAGACAGTGGGGCCACCCATTTGCAAGGTGGTGAAATGTGTTGAGCTCCACCAAGCCTTGAGTGTACAAAGAGGAGGAGGATTTATTTCCACCAGCAGCTCTTATCTCTCTCTCCTCCAGCTTGTGTTTACAATGGGAAGACCTACTCCCACGGGGAAGTGTGGCACCCCGTCTTCCGGCTCTACGGCCTCCTGCCCTGCATCCTCTGCACTTGCAGGGATGGCGTCCAGGACTGCCAGAAGATCACATGCCCCAAGGAGTATCCTTGCGACTATCCAGAGAAAGTAGATGGGAAATGCTGTAAAATATGTCCAGGTAGGTGGGATCCCACCTGCTCCTACAGCTGCTTTCCAGTTCCTTCTTTTCGCCTTGGTTTAAAGTGCAGAGCAGATGCGTAGGTGTTCATATCACTGGTGACTTGAATTCACACCAGGTGAGTTCAGCTGGGCACTGATGTAAGGGTTGGCCTGTCTTGGAGGGCAGCAGGAGTGACCCAAGGTGAGGAAGCTGCACCGATCCCAAAAGGTTGCATGTGTTGGGTGGGTGTAGTCTGGAGAAAGATGCCCAAGGACGGACATGCGAAGAGTCTTCAGACAGATAGAAGATGCTTTCTGGGGAGAGGGCACGGTCTGTTCTCCAGACCTCCCACTGGGACAAGAAGTCATAGGGTTAAATTGTGGCAGCTGAAATGTAGGTTTGAGATTAGGAGGACACTTTCCGAGTGCGGGGTTATCTGTGGCACTCATGGTTTGGTTTGAATTTGAGCTGAGGTCCCTGTCCCGGGAAGGGGAGGGTTAGGCACACAACTATTGGGGTGGGCCAGATAGAACTGGGCTGGTGCTGGGGCTGGGACATGGTGGAGAGGACACCATTTTTTTCATGCTCAATGGGTTTTGGGTCTCTCAGTTGCTTCTTGGTCTTTGGAAAGCTGTTTACCTTAAACCACAGACCTGGCAAAGATGTGGCAGGGCATGAGATCTTCTCCTGTTCCCACTGGAGAACGCTTTCTAGGTTATACCTCTCCGTGCTATCATTCAGAGTAGATGTTTAGATGATGGAGCACCCACTGCTTCCCTAGAGAAACTAAAGATACCTGATTCTCTTTGAGCCTGACTGCAGATGCAGCAATCGCTGTGCGATCTCCTCTGATGTGCATTTTCAAGGTGGTTTCATGTAGGGGTCTCACCAGGGAGAAGAAGCAAGGGGCCTTGCCACGTTTAAGAATGGGAGGCAAACAGGCTGCAAAATAATTTCAGCTGTGATTTTCAAGGTTTTCCAGCCTCTGAGCAGCGAGGTTCTGGGATGGCCTCCCCGGGGGAGCGAAGGGCAGAAGCTCAGCTTGCTTTAATAAGGTTTCTGATATGTTTATGAGCAGGATTTATGACGTGGTGCCTGGTGGGAATGGGATGTGATGACTGAGCAGAGCCCTTCCAGTCTTGCATTCCCATTATAGCGGGTCTTTCTGGTCTAAAGTCTACAACTTTCTCTGCTGGGATCTCTTGTCTGTTGTTCAGTCTTCATTTATTACCATTTAAACACTCTGACCCAGCCAAAATTATTTTCTTCTTGCTTTCCAGTACTCGTAGATAGCAATCACACACACATACACATTGCTCAGCCAAGTTACATGCTTGCCCTCTGTTTCACTGCACGGAGGTTTCACCCATCTTCTTTTTCCAGGCAGTTTCCATGACTGTCCTCCTCTTCCTCCTTCGTACCCAGTAGCTCGGAGAGAAATGCTGAGCAATTTCTGTTTGCAAAAGGGATCCTGATCGAAGGGGAATTGCTGCGATGCGTTGGTTGGATGGGGAAACCACGGCAGCTGCTGGGAGCAGAGCTAGCAGCCGGGACCCCTGGGTCCCTGCTCCTCCTCCCCAACACTGTTGGCCATCGAGTGGCTCCAGCGGGAAGCTCTGAGGTTGTTAAATACCTGTTGTACCTGCAAGGATGTGTGGTTCCTTCCCTGTCGTGAAGGTGGGGCTGCCTCGATCGATGCAAAGAGTAGCCCTGGAGTGGGTGAAGTTTAATGGTCTGGGACGGAGGTTTTCCTGCACCTGAACCCCGCGGTGGCAGGGATGAGGTTGGTGGGCTGTGGTCGTCCCCCTTCACATCACGCTGAGCTTCCAGAGCTGAACACTTGTCTTCCCATTGCTGGAAAAGCCCGGCTTTGCATCCCTTTAAATTGGGATTTCCATCCCCTCTCTCAGGACCGCCTCAGAAAGCACGAGGGAGAGCAGAATCAGGCCTAAAATAACTGTTCTACTAAAATAAACCCCACGCGTCTATTTATAGCCAAACTTTCTTTCGAGTAGTGTAAAAAGCTTCAGCATCCAAAATGACAGAGAGAACAAGGCTAAATTCAGCAGAGCTGGGCTCCTCTGTGTTCCAAGGACCACAACCAAAGGCAATAAATCTCCTTCCAAAACCATGGGGGATTCTTAATTACTCCAGATACATGTAAAAAATTAAAAAATTAGCAGCTCTGCTTTACCAAGGATGTTGAAAAAGTCACATAGGGTCCCGCCGGTGCCCCCGGTGTGGGTCTCCCTGCCGTTGCACCCCATGTGGGGAGGGGGCCCGGGCTGGGGCTGAGCCCACCCGCAGGGCTGAGCCGGGCATGCTGCCCAGGCAGCCCGGCCACGGTGCTGGCTCCCGTGCTGCGGGCTCATCCCTTCACTTCGCTGACGTTGCTCCTCCGGGAAGGCAACGGGAGCGAGATGGGAAGCAGGGAATCCAGCCTGGGCTTTGCAGTGATGATGGCACCAAGGTCTCTGCAGCGGGTATGGGGGATCCAGGTGGAAGAAATCCCGCTTCCCCATCCCCCCTGGCATAGAGGCTGCCAAAATCAAGGGGAATGGAAAATATGGGGATGAGCAGGTCCATAGGTCCTTTATCAACATCTCCCTTTGCTGCTGATCTCAGCGCTGGGGATCGGACCCTGGGAGCCAAGGTCCCATTCAGAGATGCAGCTGCGCCACATGGCATTGAACCCAATGAGATGCCCTTTCCTCAACTTGGGTGCTGAGATAGCTCCTCCAAGCTCCTTCCTGCCCCTGTTTAATCAACTCCATTCTTGTTTTTGCCCAGAAACAAGAGTCAAACCCACTGATGAAATAGTCACTGCCCAGTGTGGCAAGAACCCCAACCATGTCCTGGTGTACATGTTTGTGCCGCCGAGCTCAGAGACCTCCAAGGAGATCCTCAGGACGATCGCAATCGAGAAGGAGCCCGCGGAAGAGGTGGAAATCTACAACTGGAAGCTGATTAAAGGCGAGTACTGTAATGAAACCAGCCAGCAAGGGAGGAGGTGTGTGTGGAAACCTGGTGCTTTCCAAGCTTTGTTCAGTTTTTCAGGCTCTTCTCATGGTGCTCCAGACCTTGTGTAGTGAGTTGAAACCTGCTGACAGCAGGTTGGCTTTTCTAACTCCCCCCTTTCACGCTCTTTTGCTGCAGTTGCATGCAGACCAGGGGCTGGAAACCACTTTTGGCCCCAGTGTACCCTGTCACGAGCTGCAACACCATTCAGAGGCACAGCACGTGGGCAAACAAGGCAAGGGCCATGGGGCTGCTCCTCCAAACCTGCCCGCTTCCATGCCAAATGGACATGGAAAACAAAACAAAAAATTGTTCTGGTCATTCCATACTTTTACTTTTACTCTTTTTTTCCCCCAGTCCACCCATCACTGGGAGCAAAGCTTGCAGAGCTGCTGCAAAGGTGCACGCAGTGGGGATGGATTGCCCCCAGCCCACTTTTTGGACAGGTGGATTTGGATGCTCCTGTTGGTGTGTCCTCCAGAGGTCAGAGCATGGCAAATACACTGTCAAATGACACCAATCTCTTGCTCTGTCCCCATACTTTTAGCTTTGCAACACTTTTATGGACCTGAGGAGCCTATCTCTACTAGATATTTGTGTTTTGTTTCTCTTGGGCCTGGGAAAGCATCACAGTGTCCTCACTCTGTTGGACATACTCTACCCCTTGCAAAAACTTGTGCCTTGAGCACTTGAGGTTGGTCACACCTTACCTATGGATGCAGTGACCCTCAGCCCATGTAGCTGGGTGTCTTCTGGGCATCTGTAGGCAGGTATTCTGGTCTCCTGGGTATGTTTGTGTCTCACCTCTGTCCCTAAGGAGACCTCAGCCCTCCTGGGGCTGGCTCTTCCCAGCTGCCAAGGGTGGACACACTTAGATAGTAGCTGGAGAAATTAACTCCAGAGATGAAGCCCTGACTGCCACCATGTTTCCATCCTCCCCCTGCCATCCTCCGTCCTCCATGGTGCCCCTCTCCCTGTCCTCCCCCCCCGCCTCAGCAAAGCCTCCTTCACAATGGCACCTTGTAGCTGGAGAACAGCTCTGAGCCTGCACTGTCTGGGCCCCACCATTTCCTCTTCTCGCTCCTTGGCAGAGGTCACCACCCAAACCTTCTCGCCACCTTCTGAGGCCAAAAGCTTTGCGTCTGCACGGAGCTCCCGAGCCCTGCCAGCCAAGGACAGGGGAGGCCCTTGTCCCCGAGGCCAACACAGCTCTTTTGCTTGGCAGAGCAAAGTGTTACTATTGGGAAAGAGCATGAGCTCAGTCACATATGGATTCCACCTCTCCATGGTCCATCACTCTACCAACAGAGCAGCATGTGTGGAGAAAAGAGGCTGCAAGTTGCGCCTGGAGCCTGTCCATCTGCCTTTGTATGGGCTTATGATACCTACGTGGCCTCATCTATTTCTGTGCCGGGACGGTTTCCTCCACAAGGCAGGAGGAGAAACTGGCGCCAACACCCAGCCAAAAGCTTTACCCAGCTTGCTGGTGGTGCACCACCAGCCCCAAGATGAGTGGCAGTGGGGACTTCACCATGTTTTTAGGGGTCTGAACACCTCAGGAGTTTTGAAATGTGACTTTCTGATGTTTTAGAAAAGGAATTATCATGGAGAGTGAGGACAACAAAGGAACAGGCAGGACCAGAGAGGGACGAGCACGGTTTGGAGGCTCTGTCATTGACTTCTGCCCTTCACCCTACCTCACTGGAGGCCTGGGCTGTACTTGCAGGTGCAATCCCCCCATGGACCTCTTTCCCACATTTACCCTCCCAGGCTGTTGATTAGATGTTGATCAAAATATTCCTTTCTATCCTGAAAACCTGCAGCTCTGGGACCTTCAGCAATCCCCAGTGTTTCACCATGTTGGTATACCCTCGCATCTGGGCTGGAGGAGACCTGAGGAGTCTGGACCAGCCATCCCCACGCTCTTCTGGCACGTGCTTGAAGATCTCCTGCCACGGAGACTGTACAGCCCATCTAATCTCTTCCAGAGCCACAGACCCCTTCCTAAGGGAAGACTGTTCCCAGTGTGCAGCTTCCCTGCAGCTCGAGCTCATGCCTTCTCATCCTCTCCACCGTGGGTGTGAAGGGCAGATGCCTCTCCTCTGAAGATGCCATCAGCTCCTGCCCTTGTCCTCTCTTACACAGTTTAAGCAGTTGAGTTTTTTCAGGCTTTCCTTGATTGAAATTTCTGGTCCTTTGGTCCATCCCATAGCTCTGCTCTGGACTCTCTCTGTGTCTTTCTTGAAGTACAAAGCCCAAAATGGGGTGTGGGGCTCTGGTCAAAGGTTGCGTTCTGCTGGGATGGGTCTCATACACCCATGTCCACCCATGATCCCGTCTCCATCCACCCACCGAAGCTTTGTTTTGCAGATGATTTAGCAAGTCCTGAGACCAGTTTCTTGAATTAGACTGTGTTAAATCCCTGGCCCAGCATTAAGTATCACACGACATAAGAGTCATGTTGGTTCCCCACGTAGGCGGCAGAGAGAAGCAGTTACAATATGTCCCGTCCACCCATTTTAGGATGGGTAGAATGGCACTGTGGAAGAGCCTGTCTCTCCCATGTCTCTCCAAAATAAGAAAAGATGAATTGCTCCCTTGGAGATGGGGCTGGTCCTTAATTCACTCCTTGTGCTCTACTGGACTGCTTATTTTTTGGCCCTGAGGCAGTGCCTAAAGCACAGAATCATAGGATCACAGAAGGGTTTGGGTTGGAAGGGATCTTTAAAGCCCATCCAGTCCCACCCCTGCCATGGGCAGGGACAGCTCCCACCAGATCAGGGTGCTCACAGCCCCGTCCAGCCTGGCCTTGGATGTTTCCAGGGATGGGGCATCCACCACCTCTCGGGGCAACCCTGGCCAGTGTCTCACCACCCTCAGCGTGAAAAAATTTTTCCTTCTATCCAGTCTGAATCTCCCCTGTTTTAGTTTAAAACCATCCCCCCTTGTCCTATCACAGCAGACTAAAAAGTCTGTCCCCATCTTTCTTATAAGCCCCCTTTAAAGCACCAAGAAAGGTGGTAAGTGCCCAACAGCCCCACCACCTCCCTCCACCTCATCCCAGACTTTGCAAAGAATGATCCTGCCTGTTGGACAGGATCTGCTTGCCGGGAAAAGGCATCGCCCTTTACCAGCTCCATCCCAGATTGCCTCTTCGGCAGATGGCAAGCGCAGCGGTCTATTCTTATCTGCGCTGCCTCGTGCTCTCCTTGTGCGTGCTAGAGCATCGTCCGCATTCCTCTGCTGCTCCCCAGCACCTGGCATGTGTCAGGAATGACTGTCCGGGGGGGCCAAAGGTCTCAGCCAGCTCTCTGAGGGCTCTTGGGTGAACATTATCTAGGTCGGTTGATTAAAAGATGTTTATCTCTTGAAGCTCTTGTTTAAAATATCCTCTTGGTTACTAATGTACTGGAAAGAGCTTCACCAGCCACGGGGACTAGAAGCACACCCTCCTGCTCCTTTCTAAGTATAGACCAGAAGGATTTATTGAACACTTGTGCCTTCCTTGCGTCATTAACAGTTTTATTATCTCCATCCAGTATCTTCTTTTGTTACTGGTAGGACTTCTTTTCCTGAACCACTTAAAGGACTTATTAATAGTCCAAATAGCCACATATTTCTCTGGATGTCTTTGACTTCCTGTATTAACTTTCCACCGTCCACAACATCTCGTTTATATGGATTGCTAGCCAGTTCCCATTCATTACATACTCTTACGTGTAATTGCTGCTGGGAATCAGGGAAAGTCTCTTAACCAAATAAGGGGGACCACATTGCCTCTGACATCTGCCGGCAGCGAGATGCTGGACGCACAGGGAGCCTGGGTGAGAGGTGGGGAAGGATGTGCCAGGCATACTTGCCCCATTTGTCACGCTTCGCAGGCGAATATGAATATCATAACCCCTAATCCTGCAGAAAGGTCGCTTTCGTTGCTAAATGCAGGTTCTGGTTTTCTTGGGTCAAACGTCTGAGTCAGGCACCTCCGCTAATGGGACGATGCTGGCAGGGACAGAAATATCAATCTCTGCTGAGGTCATTCGTGGTTTTTTTCTGTCCTGGAGGAGTTTCAGGGCTGGGGGCAGAGGGATGGAAAACATTGGTCCTCGGTTGCTTCCAGGAAAGGAAAGCATCCGGGGATGGGATGGAGGGGTCTCTGCTGTTGGGGAGGATAGGTGGTCAGGAGTGAGCGGAGAGGAGGGGGATCCTGGGATCCCATTGGTCTCACCTTAATTTCTCTTATGGTTTTGGGGGAGGTCAGACCCCCTCCAGGGTGAGATGCTTTTCAGAGCAACAAAATCTGATTGCTTTCACCTGCTTCGTGGTGGTGTCCCTGCCCTGTTCTGATTTAACGAGCAGTTACTGTTTTCACATGAGATTTCTCCTGGTCCTTGGCCAGCCCTGGATTCGCTCCCAAACTCCCACCAGGTTTCGGCAGCTGGTCCTGCACTGAACCAGGACTCCGGGGCATCCAGTGCAGCCTGTGTCCTTTTTGCATCTCAGGGTGGGAGAGAGGTGTGCATCCAAACCCATCTGAGCCTTAAACTGAGCGCCGCAGAGTCTGATGCCCTCTGTTTCTCTCCGCAGGGATATTTCATCTGATACAGACCAAGAAGATCAGCAAACAGGAATTCAAGCAAGAAGCACAGAACTTCAGGCTGATCACCAGGACGAACGAAGGTAAGGAGGGAAAAAATCCCATTTCTCCACTCCTCCGGCAGACCCTGCCCCAAACAACCCCGTCTCTTGCTGCATAAATCCCGGCACGACGTGGGGAGCGAACCATAGGGACGAGGCTTGTGCAAATGTAGCCGAGTCAGGGCTGACCTGTCTTCACACGCATACGCAATGCTCCTGGTTAGCGGTCACATTTTCACTTTATGGTATCAAAAAGGGCAGCCAGCTTTCTAAAAGTGGATGCATGCTTGTGAAATCCAAAGGCTTTGTCTCTCCAAAGCCTGTAAAACTGTTTGATTTTTATATCTAATCCATCTGGCATTACAGGGGGAAAAAAAATGATGCAAGGGATTGGAAAAAAATGATGCAAGGGATTTGAAAAAAAATAAACTCTTGAAATATTTTTAAAAATCATTCTGCCAGTGCACATGCCGAGAGTGCCTGTGTGGAGCGAAACTGCTGTGCTATTTCCCGCTGGCTGCCTCTTTGCCTGGGCTGGGTTAGAGTTTAATGGGTTAGGTTCAGATCGGAGCCATTCCCGTATTGTCCAGCACCCACAGGTCACCGGGTCAGCCGGGAACAGCACTGCTGCCCAGTGCATACCAGCACGCCCAGTGCCCCAAGGAAGGTGGAGACTTGTTTTCACCTTCAAGCCGGTCAAGACAACATTGCTTGACCAAACCCCGGGGGATTTTCAAGTCTCTGCTCCCAGGTTGGCTCTCACACCATGATGGAGTCTCTGGCACGTGCCACCTTCTTCTTGCCTCAGTTTCCCCTGACAAATAACCCTGTTGTGAAACCATCCCTCTGCCGTTGCTGCAAGTTCTAGGAAAGCATTGGCTGGTGATTTCTTCACAACAGGAGATTAATTCAGCTAGAAAATATGCCCTCCCTGGGGATGACGACATTAGGGCTGCATAATCCTTACTGGGATTACAGGGGAAACAACCACCTAGAGGGAAAGCACCTCCAGCCACCTCCTGCAAGTACAGGGATGCTGGTGTTTTGGGGGAGCAAGGAGAGGGATTGGGGAGCTTTGTGCTCATTTTTGGGGTGTTGCCCAGCTCCCACTGACGCATTTGCTTTGCAGGGAGTCTGCAGCTCACCCGTGAGGCTGTGGCAGGACCTAGGGGGGTTTCTTCTTCTTCTGCAGCAGGACCTTCCCCGGCCGTAGGTGGTGGCAATGCCCTGCATGAAGAGCCAAGGCTGGGGCAGCGGCAGAAAAACGAGTATAAATAGGAGGGGTTTGAGCAACCCACCCCAAAGAAGTGGGACTGACAGAAGGGAGGAAAGACGCATACCTGCCCATGGCCCAAGAAACATGAATTTGGGCTTTCTGCTGATGAGTCAGAGGACAAGCAAAAGGCTTCTCCCCTCTGAGAGGCGGGGAGTCAGCCTGAATCCCGGACACGCGGGGAGGACATGGCCCTAACCGCTCACATTAAAACATCCTTTGAGGAGTCAGAGAGGGGGATTTATCCCGGTTTCAGACTGAGATCTCTTTCTTCTAAGAGCGTGCGAGTGGTTTCCAGGGAAAGCATTGGAAATGCCCTTGATTGTGCTGTTAATTGCCTTGCAGGAGGTATACAGGGCCCCTCTTGACCTCAAATACCACTTTAATTGCAAGACGGCAAAGTCTAGGACCGGATTATGGGGCCGCTGATGAGCTGCTGCTCTGGCCGCGGCCAGCCTTGTGGCAGACCTCTCTCCCCACCTCTCTCTCAGCACGGTCCTCGTGGGTCCTCCAGTGCGGAGGGTGCTACGTGTGGGGTAAATTGTGTTTTCCTGCTCCAAGGGTTGTTGCTAATGAGTGTCCTTCTCATCCAGGTCACTGGAACATCTTCCGCGCCCAGACGTCAGAGCTGAGGATGACAGAGAGCCCAGAGAAAGAAACAAAGAACTTGTAAAGAAAAAACTTTAACCTAGCTATTGATTTATCTACACACACACACAGATACACACATACACATATATAAGAAAAAAAAAAAGTTGCATTATTAAATAGACTGGCACAGCAATAAAGGATACACTAGTATAAACTACAGAAATTCCAGCAAATGAACCAAACTGAACCGCGTTGAAGCCGCAGCCGTGGAGGTGCCTCTCTCCAGCGGGAGAGCGCAAGAGGCCGGCCGTCATCTCCTGCTACCGAAGATGTCGAGTGTGCAGAGGGAGGAAGGAGAGGGGGCGGAGATGTCAGACCTGGTGCGAGGTAAAGAGGGGGGATACGTCCCTGACACCCCGGCATTTCCGAAGAGCACCAGGAGCTAGCAGTAAAGCAGGACAAGACCATGCTTGTTACCACCGCCGGCATAAAGATGACCTGCAAGGAGAGAAAAATCATCCTTAGTTCCTTTCTTGGAGCCCCTGTGATCTGCAAAGGGTTTCTTTGGCTGAATACCCGCCAAAGGGTGTTTCTTGAAAAATCTTGGGTCTTTTCTCCTCTGTTTCAGCTGGGAGGATTCTTTTACCTTCTTTGCAGGTCACTCAAAGGTGTAGTTTTTGGGAGGACCCACCTGCTGACAGGGTCGGAGACCCCAAACACTGCACTAAGGTCGCTACTAAGCATGTTATTATGCTATATATTTATATATATCCTACATAATATCTACTGGGCTGTATTCACAGGAGGTGCATCTCCCAAAGGGCAAACAGGACCATTTCTGCAGTGTGGGGAGGAGGGTGTGCAACAGCATCGCCCTCCCCCTGTCTGGAAATAGCTTTGGGGGATTTTCAGGTTGTTTTGGTACATATATTTATCCCTGGTTTCTTGTTTTATTCTGTTTTGATAAATCTATTTATTTGGAGATCCAAATCTGTCTGATAAATCTGATTAAAGCGTCTTCTTGATTCAGCCTCCTGTGCCGGCTCTCCTTTCCCCGTAAGGGTCTGTGTTACGACTCGGGGGGGCCTCATTGGGACCCCCATCCTGGGGGGATCTGATCCCCTTACACTCACTCAGACAACGTCCTCAGGGTTCGGATGCAGGATTGGGGCATGCAGAGAGCATCCCATGGATGCTTTGCTCATCCCACCCCATTTGCTTACGGCCCACAGCCAGTTTGGGGCTGAAAATGGAGCTCGGGGCTGGCAGTAGGCACGGGGGTCGGGCGAAGGCTGGGGGCAAACCTGGGCCGGGAACTGGGAGGTCCTGGTGTGCTGGACGGGCGCCCAAGCAAGCTGCTAAGTGAGTGCAGGTGCTCACTCTTGGACAGGCAACCGCTCACATGGGGCTATAAAGGGATCGATACGAGCAGCTCATGCCCTGGGGACAGCCGTGCCTTCTCCTTCTCTCTTCCTTATGCTCCCAAAAAACGGCGGTTGCTGCCATGCGCTCGGGATGTGGATGGAAACCGGATCTGTGCACGGCCAAAGGACAGAGAAGGCCAAAGAAGGGCAGCGAGGCTGGGGCAGGGGCTGGAGCCCAAGGCTGGGGAGGAGCGGCTGGGGGAGCTGGGGGGGCTCAGCCTGGAGA